AAAGCACCTATAACAACTCAACGGTTGCTTCTGGACCTAAACTATCTTCTCCATGCTCAAGAGAGCATATCAGGCTACCAACCCGAGCTAAAACACGACACCATCTCTTAATTCGATTTCACAAAATAAATTGCCAAACATGGCATTGTCTAGCTGTTTATATACTTAAAAATCTTCTAAATCTTTGAGTTGAATTTGATTCCAAGTTGCATTTCTAGGCTATTAGAAATGTTGGCTAGCAATGTTATTTTTCTACAGCAAGTATTTCATTGTCATCTACAAAGTTCATATTCCAAACTTTATTTAAGCGCCACATATATGTTCTATAGTATTTTTGTTCAATAAAAATTAGTTTTAAACCCTACTTGATACATATGAGTTATGGAATAGCTTATCATTTAATATTTTTATTGATCATCTGAAGTTACAAAAATGTTATCTACACCTTCCATCACATGCATTATCACATGAACATGATGCTCACGACATGGTTTGGTAATTTGTTTAGGGCGTAACACCGAGGGTGTTACAGCTAACTCAAATCAAAATGTGGGCTCTAAAAGACCAGTAAAACTAAAAAAAATCATATATCATACGTTTTGTTCTAAATTATATGAAATTTGTTTGTATTTTCTACACACACTGATTTTACTAAAGTACTAAATCCATTCCAAATTACGTTCTGGCTTTTCTAGATGCGTTGCATTTGCTATGCAGTATATATCTAAATGCATAACAAAAGTGAGAATGATCGATAACCAAAAGTTAGGTCATTAGGGCAAGAATGATTATGATTTATTATCTTTTTACCAATTCGACTTGTAGCATGAAGTCGTTTGTAAGTCAAATGAACTAGAAGTCGGGAAAAGCCAGTTTTTTTTTCTTCACCGGCTTTAGCTTCATTGGTGAAGCCGTTTTGGATGAGCCGTGCCAAAGGGGGCTTAAATGCAGAAACTGGGGTAGTTTCTATGTGCATCAATTAGGATGCTAACTAAGTGAAATGATCGATGTTGTAACAATGTAATTAAAGAGAGAATGAAAAGATTTCTTATATAGAAAACTATGTTTACATGATAGTGAAGATGATAAGAGATTTTATAGCCTGACGGGTGGGTCGTAGGAGAGAGAAGTCATGTAACTGGATAAAATTATTTTTAAGAGACGTGGATTTCCATTTCTTTGTGCAATTTTTATATGACTTGGTAATTATGGTTCCGTTTCTATCGATTCATTTTAGACTTTAAGCCTAGTCCTTTAGATGCAATAGAGAAACTCCAAGAGACTCTCTCGTATCATTTCTAATTGTTATGAATAGACATTTTGATATAAAAAAATCCACCAAGAGCTTTTTTATTTATTTGGTTGTCCAAATATAGCCATCTTGTATTCCGGATTTCTCGCTAGCCAAAGACAGAAAATGAGAATAACTCTATAGAGACACAAAAGATATAGAAAAACTATTCGAGAGTGGAAATATATAGGAAATAATTTTCATGCAAATAGCTCTCTAAATGACCATATGTATTCCGAATTTCTCAATAGCCAAAGGTAAAAACGAGAATGGCTCTCTAGAGGCACATGAGATATCGTAAAGCTGTTGAAGAGAAAAAGATAGAGGAAATTATTTTTAGGGGTCTCTTATTTTTGTCTCTCTAAATGAAAAGTAAGTTTTAGAAAGACCATCGGAGCTGTTGTTTACGCGATCATATGATCAAAGTTTTTATGGGTCGAGCGACCTATTCTTATCCCTAGTAGTGTTTACGAGATCAATCAACATTTGCAGGCTCCTCAATTCTAGGGGCCCACATTCGGCCCTGTTAGTGGACGGCCCTGCTTTGGGCACGCATGAACACACCACACGAGCGAGAGGGGGCGACGATCGACGCACACGCACATGTAGTCGTGTACAGTACACGACTACACATGCATATGCACGTAGGCTGTCGGCCTCGTCATCAACCGGCCTGACTGTAACGCACTGTGCACGTACGTGTACTAGGAGTACATGCACCCGTCATGGTCATCGATGGATGGCCAGGCCTGAGGAGCACCCGTCATGGTCATCGATGGATGGCCAGGCGGCGTGAGACGTGGCAAGTTCAAAAAGTCTGAGATTCTTTCAGGGCCATAAGAGTACCTTTGATTTGGAGGACCCCGAACAAAACGTGAGATGTGGCCCTAAAGTTGAAAAAAGTAAATTTTGCTAGATTCTTTCACAATATATTGAGAGCACCCTTTGAGTTTGAGCCACAACTTATAATCTTTACTGACTTTAAGTCTTCTTATGCTTTTCAAGTGGCCATGAATCATACCTAATCTTTACTTCTTCTTATTTTTTCAGAAGACATGATGAAGATCAATGAAATAAACAAATGTCTCCAATGCCTTGACTATAATGCGAATTTTTAGATTATCTAATTGGTTAATCTCCTATCCAAGATACAACAATAGACAATTGGAATGAAAGTGGTATGTGTACCATGGTAGGCGGTCGCGTGGCGGATGGCCATAGGCCATACTTTGGGCCAATACTCCGATTTATAAACTAGTGATTGCAGGCCTAGTGGCATCTTTTTTTTTTCCTATTCAAGGATTAATTATTGCTAATTACTACTTAGGCCACGTTTAGTTAAAAAAGCTTTCCAAAATGTGCTACAGTAGCCATCACATCGAATCTTGCGATACGTGTATGAAACATTAAATGTAGACGAAAAAAAATCTAATTGCACAGTTTGGTTGAAAATCGGGAGACAAATGTTTTGAAGTCTAATTAGTCCATGATTGAACACTAATTAACAAATAAAAACGAAAGTGACACATAGCCAAATTCCAAATTTTACCGAACTAAACACGGCCTTAGTGTAATTTTGGAGGCCCTCCCATTTTGGAGGCCCTGAACAGTTGCCCCACTTGTTCCTGTCGAGGGTCGCCACCGTACCGGCAGCGCACGAGCGGCGTCGCAGGGACGCGGCAGGGGAGGCGCCGTGCCCCGTGCCCGTACGGAACCCGGGGGAGGAGGCCGGGAGGGGGAGCCCGGAAAGAATCGGGCCATGGCCGCGTCACATCCTGTCCCCATCGCACCTCTTTTCATCGATTCATCTCGTGCTCTGCTCTCTGCTGCCTGTGTCTCCTTGCATTGCATGGCCGTTGGACAGATGGTCGCACCAGTTCTGTGCAGCTCGTGAACGGCGGTTAACACCAGTGGAAAATTTTATTACTCTACTTCCGCATATTTTGTTGGACAACACTAGCGCCCCCGGACGCACGTGGCTGCTCTGCCCATCTGTTCAGATTCGCGCGCCAGCCACATCAGCTTCGTTTTTCGTGCTCGCATTCGAACCACTCGTTTCAGATCCGCTGTGCACACTACTCGGATGATTCGCCCCCGTCTCTTCCACACCGACGCGACGCCCGTCCCAGACCACCCGGAAGACTCGTCACCGCTTCTTCCACAACAATACCGCGCGGCGTGTGCCTCCTCCCCACACCGACGGCGGCGGCTCGCGCCTCCTCCATGCGTCGAGGGTCGTGGCTTGGCCCTGCCCGGCCTCATGGACACCAGCGCCGGCTGTCTTCACTTGCAACATGAAACACTCGAATGCAACATACATTTGAAACAAATGAAACGTTTAGAACATAGCTTGCAACATGTGTGCAAAACATATGCAATATCCAGATAAAACAATTGCAACATGAAAAACACTTACTGCAACATAAGACTGAAACAACTGAAACATTTGGAACATATTGTTGTAGAATATGTGTGAAAACACATGCAACATCCAGATAAAAAACGATTGCAGCGTACATATGGAAACAAATGAAACATTTTGAACAAACGCTTGCAACATGCTTCTAAAACACTTGCAACATATGCAACATGCGCAACATCCTCAATCTACTTTTGCAACGACTGAAATATAAATTTGCAACATAGGGGAGGGGAAGCCTGGCCCGGTCGATTCCCGTCGTCGTGGTCAAAGCTGGCAGTGAGCGACGGTGAACGAGCACCACCACCACCAGTACTGGGCTTGGCTCGGCGGCGACGGTGGGGGCTAGGGGGCGACGAGTGCTATGGCCTCCAGGGCGGGGGGAGCTCGGTCGCCGGGGTGAGAGAGGGCGTCATCGGGGGGGGGAGGGCGGCGCGCTGGGGCGGAGGAGAGCTACCCACTTCCCTACAACACCGCCACGCCACCTTCATGGGATCTTGCTCCCGCTCCATGGATCTCGCCGGGCGAGGGAGAGGGAAAAAATTCTATGCGGTCGCGATGGACGTCGCCTCCTGTGCATCACCTTTTGCATGCAGTCATGCGTGTCCGTCCCCACCAGGCAAGTGGATCGACAAAATTGCCTTCGCGAAACAGCTAGAACCGACAGCTGTGTGGACATGGAGATCGGACGGAAGGACAACAGCGTTTGCAAGATTGGCCGACATCTAACACGTGCTGCACGGCCCTTGGTATACATCACACTGCATAGAATTTTTTCCAGGGAGAGCGCCCTCGGATCTACGGGCGTTCAGGGCTCTTGATGGGGTAGGACGCGGGGCGGTGGTGCGCTTCGACAGGGGATGAGGAGCATAAAAGGGCTAAGAACCGGAGTGCGTGAGTTGATTTTATTAGGCGAGGCATGTTTTTTAGGTGAGCGGTGCATGCGACAGGGAGTGGAATGATACGTCCGGTCCGGACGTCTTAATGGTATTTTGTTGTCGCAGAAACGCATTTTTTTTTTCTCTTTCTCTCGCTGGTTCTTTTTTGATGAGAGGATGTTAAATGTGTTCACGGATGGTTTGCCTCGTTAGAGCCCACTGGTAAGCCCACTCCACTTACTAAAGCTTTTACGGGCCAGCCCACCGAACCAACAATCAGGCCGAGTCCATCAGAAGGTTCAGAACCGGGCAGCCCGCGACGCCGTCCTCCCAAAACTAAACGACCCAACCTCCGGCTCCCGGCTCTCCGGCCGGTCTCTCTCTCTCTCTCCTCTCCCGCCGACGCGACCCGATGGCGGCGTCCGCCAACGCGACGACACTCTCCGCCTTCGCGTCGCTCCTGACCGCGCGGCGCTTCGCGGCCGCCAAGTCCGCGCTCCCGCCCCTGCTCACGCCGCGCCTCCTGGCGGTGCCGTTCCGGGACCTCGCCGCCACGTCGCTCCCGCGCGGCGCGCCGCCGCACGCCGTGGCAGCGTTCCACGACATGCTCTTCCGCGCGTACGCGGACGCCGGCGCGGCGGACCGCGCGGCCGAGGCGCTCGACGCCACCGTGTCCCGCCTCGGCCGCCTCGACCCTCGCTCGCTCACGTCCTCGCTCCTCTCGCTCCGCCGCGCCGGGCGTCTAGCGGACGCCGCGGGTCTCCTGACGCGGGCGCTCGGCGCGTGCCCGGGATCCGTCTCGCCGCTCGCCGCGTCCGTCGTCGTCGATGGGTTCTGCAAGTCGGGGCGCGTGGACGGCGCCCGCGTGCTGCTCGACGAAATGCCTCGCCACGGCGTGAGGCTCAATGCGCTGTGCTACAACTCGCTGCTTGACTGTTACGTGCGCCGAAAGGATGACGCGCGGATCCAGGAGCTGCTGGAGATCATGAAGAATGAAGGCATCGAGGCGACGGTCGGGACGTATACGATCCTGGTGGATAGTTTGTCGACGGCCGGGGATATCAACAAGGTTGAAGCTCTGGTTGATGAGATGAAGGCGAAGAATGTTGCAGGGGATGTGTACTTGTACACCGCTGTCATCAACGCGTACTGCCGAGCAGGGAATGTGCGGAGGGCGTCTGAGGTTTTCGATGAATGTGTTGGCAATGGCATTGAGCCGAACGAGCGTACATATGGTGTATTGATCAACGGGTTCTGCAAGATTGGGCAGATGGAGGCTGCAGAGATGTTGCTGACAGACATGCAAGGACGAGGTGTAGGACATAACCAAATTATTTTCAATACGATGATTGATGGCTATTGCCGTATTGGGATGGTGGACAATGCTCTTAAAATAAAGGCGGCGATGGAGAAAACGGGCATCGAACTGGACGTCTACACATACAACACATTAGCCTGTGGACTGTGCAGGGTGAATAGAATGGATGAGGCCAAGACTCTATTGCATATCATGATCGAGAAGGGTGTCGTGCCAAATTACGTCACGTACACTACGTTGATCAGCATACACTGCAAGGAAGGTGACATGGTGGAGGCTAGAAGGCTGTTCCGAGAAATGGCAGGGAAAGGGGCAACGCCCAGTGTTGTGACCTACAATGTTATGATGGATGGGTACATCAAGAAGGGGAGCATCCGCGAGGCTGAGAGGTTCAGAAAGGAGATGGAGAAGAAAGGGCTTGTTCCAGATGTATACACTTATGCATCGCTAGTTCATGGGCACTGTGTCAACGGGAAGGTGGATGTGGCGCTGAAGCTGTTTGAAGAGATGAAGCAGAGGGGAACGGAACCTAATGTCGTGGCATATACAGCTCTGATATCTGGTCTGGCAAAGGAAGGGAGATCAGAGGAAGCGTTCCAGTTGTATAATGATATGTTGAAAGCTGGATTGATTCCAGATGACACTGTATATTCTGCTCTTGTAGGAAGCCTTCACACTGATAACCGGAAAGATATTCACCACAAACAAATTAAGGTTTCTTAGGCAGCTTTGTTTTTAAGGGAAAAGCGACCTAAAGCCTTTGTAAATTGCCCTGAAGCAATTGAAGAGGTCGGCCATCCAGAATTGACTGCATAATGTTAGTCAATTTACAAGGTGGGATGGAGTACTAGATTGTTGCATTTCACTTAAATGACATAAGGTGATCTTTCAGCCAGCTGTGACGAAGCAGCAAAATGGCAGAAATGATTACATGTTGACTTGCAATATTACATGGCCACCTCCAGATTTCAGATCCTCATTGGGTAACATTTTTTTTTATTTGGAGCATGTGTAGAACACTAGAACCAGAGGTGGTTTTGCAGACTTTATTTCAAAATTAGAGTTTGTAATAGTAGTCATGGAATTATTACAAAACAAGCAGTTCTTGTACATGAGATGTATCACTTGCCAAGATTGGTCTGAAATGTTACACTTTGTCACTGTTATAGAGATATTTGCAATTGGAAACTTGCTGGTATGGATTCAAAAATAATACGAATACTTCATGTGATCCAGTGTATCTGCCAGCTTTCCCCCCTTTTGATCCATTGAAAGGAGCTGAATATCCAGCAGAACAGCCTTCACCTCTGCAGGGAAGCACCAATTCACGCTTGTGTTCCTGTTTGTTCTTCCATACTAGCATCAGTAGCAACCTTCAGTACTTGGTATTGGATCTGCCAGGCTTGTTCTGTATCGTTATTGCTCTACAAAACAAGCAAATTATTGTAGTTTGTTGTGCAACAGCATGGCCCAGTAGAGCATTATCACATAGATTTTTCTCAGAAAAAACTAACCGTCTCTGAAGATGTAATTTGTGCAGGTAGATTGCCCTTCACTTCCTGGATTGCAGATCTAATCGCCTTCATTTCCTATAAGCAAAATAACAGGATGGTGTGCTGCTCCTAGAGACCAAACTAAAAGGAATAGAAGTCGACAGAAAGAGGGCAGACCGATTTCAGCTGCTCCACTTCAGAGTCGAGTCCTTTCTTCAGACCCTGGAGTTCCTGTAAGAACACAAGTCAACTAGCGGCACTGGATATCTCACCGTTTCGGTCTGGTACGATATTCATTACTACAAGTAGCATTCTGGATTCTAAAATTTCAAGGCGCGGGAAAAAGGACAGAGCAAAACTCACACTCTGGCATGTCTTGACCTGCGTCTCTACATTGGAGCGCCAGTTCTGCACCTCCTGAAACAGAGGTCAGCCAATTGCATCTCATCAGCATCTGATCATGGAAGCAACCAAATTTCCCAAATCCAAGTGTCTCTACTCTCTGAACTCGTTTGTTTCATCGCCACAGCTAACTAATTGCACGATCCCTAATCTGCATTTGGTTGGACAGTCCATACGCACCTGTTTCAGCTTCTGGATCCTCTCCAGCAACTCTGCCTGCGACGAGGTCAGCTCCTGCAACACAACACAAGCACAAGGATCAACCCAACTCGTCCAAAGCTCCGCTGCTGCGGCAAAGAACCCGGTGGCGCCGTGCCCTCTGAACCACCTTGACTCGCCCGTCGAGTTGCTCGAACCCCGACAGTCTCTGCAAGTGAAGAACCAGAACGCGAGGGGCACAGCATGAGCACAAGCCAACTGGGGCCTAGCGACTTGCCAAGAACCTATCAGAATTCAGAATTGTAGATTCCATCACCCAAGATGCAATTGACCGTGCGTACCGGACGGCTTGGCGCGGCAGCGGGTGCCACCGGCGGAGGAGGAGACGGTGGCGCCGGATCGGTCGTCTCGGCCGCCATCAGGTTGATCGGTGATGTCTGCAAAGTGGGCCCCGCCACCGGATCGACTGGCTGCTATGCTACCTGGAGGCAGGGCGGGTTGGTAGGTGGGTCAGGTGGCTTGTTGTTTTCTTCCTCGCGCGGCCTGCCGTGCCGGTTGCAGTGGCAGGCAGCTGCTGCTCTCCGCCTCCAATGGCGCGGCGCCTTTGCGTGAGGACCTCTTGATCGTGACACGGCTACCTGTCTCCGGTGAGTACACCACTCGGAATTAAATTGCATGGTGATCACGGACACAGGAACCAATCGGATTGTCGTCTGAACATGGATCTCACAGTGCTGCCTTGGCTGGTAGCGTTCCGGCCTCACTGCAGCCTTTTCACTAGCTCGGTGAGTTTGTCATTGCAAGTTTTTCTGACTTAGCTATGATACGTTTGAGGCATTTTTAGTAAGGTAAGGTACCAAGGATTTGCCTCCAGGTCAGGTCTATAAGAATTCATATTTGCTCTTCGTAAATGATATGACAGTGCTCCTTCCTTCGATTTTTTTTGAAAAAAGATTTTATATTTATTTCCATGTCATGTTTTTTTTTTAAAAAATCTGGGAAAAAGATGGGCGCGTCACGTGAACGTTACACACGACGTGCATACGTGTTACAGTGACAGGTGGGAGCTGAATTGGTTCTTTCCTAACGGAATTCTGTGTCTATCTCTGTCAATCTTCCGAATCCTCTACCTAGCTAGCCTAAGGTTGTAGGCTCTGTAGCCTTTCTCTGTAGGCAAGCTGGCTTGACGGAAACCTACTAATAACCATGAACAGTGATAGCCAATAAAGTTTTTTTTTTTTTTTTCTAAAAAAAGATGGTGTTAGGAATCTCGATGAAAATAAAAAAAATCCCTCGGCATATAATAATAAAAACAAAAAAGAGGTCAAGATAGACGGCTCAATCCACGTCGTAGATCACATCAAACTTAAAACACCGCCCAGATGTTAACGCAAATGCCACAATTATTAGTTGTACGGTATGCAAGCAATTGTTTTTGATGCAGTTGCCTGTTGGCTTGTTTTTCTTTTCCCCTATCTGGATTCGGGAGGTGCACATATATTGCAGGTCAACCAAAGTACTTCCTCCATTTCTATCTTCTAAGCATATGCATATATAACGGTTAGGACAAACTAATCAATTACTTTGTGGAGTAAAATTACAAATGGTTGCAAATCAACAAGTACTACCAGGACACTTCATTGATTTCACACAAACAAAAACCAAAAGGCACTATACAAACACAACATCAGTACAATATTTAGCGCGCACTTTAATCTCTCTCTCTCTCACACACACACACACACACACACACACACACACACACACACACACACACACACACACACTCATCTTAATTAGACGTGAAACTAATTTAAGCCAAGCCAAACCACAGCAACATGTACCTACATACACACGCACTCTGCACACATACATATGTATATGTTTGTTCATATATATTCAATAATATAGCTAGACTTATACTATATAATTAACGACTCCTGGCATCGATGGATCATCAGTTGTGCAGTGCTGCACACGCATGCATGCAGCATGCCGAGATGGTGGACGATGGAGCTAGCTGCTAGCTAGCTGGCGGCAAGCTAGCTAGGCGTCGACGACCTTGAAGTGGTCGCGGTTCTTGACGACGATGTCGTACATGTGGGTGGAGCGGAGGCTGGCGAAGTCGCGCGGGATGGTGATGAGGTCGGCGCCGCCGTCGCGCTTGTGGAGCTGCACGATGCTGCGGTTCTCGTAGTAGCGCTCCCACCCCAGCGTCCCCAGCCGCCGCTCCAGCGCCTCCACCGACCGCACCACCTCGTTCGTCGGCACGTACACCAGCGCCTTCCGGCTCGCCGCCGCCGGCTGCTCCAGCTGCATCACGCCGTTCTTGAACACCCAAACGCCGGCGCCCGAACCAGACATATTCCTCGTCCTAGCTCGTCGTCTTAACAGATCGACCTCTAGGCTCTAGCTAGCTAGCTCTATCGGCGGTCTATCCCTGCTTTGTTGCCTGCCTCTACTGCTACTGCACGCTGATGCCGCTACCTAGCTGCTAGCACTGCTGCTGTTCCGTCTGACGACTGTGCCTATAAATAGGCGGATAGCTAGATAGGTGCACCATCAGTCGTCCCAGGCTCCCAGCTAGTAGGGGCCGGGCGGCCGGGCGGCGCAGCATGAACTTGCTTGCTGTGTCTCTGCTGGTGCACAGTGCAGATGCGAGATAGGGGTGGCCCGTGGCCGGGTGGGCGTCTGCGATCATCCCCTCCATGCCAGTATTCCCAGATTGGTTTGCTGCCGTCTTGCCGACGCCGCCGCTATTACAGGAGAGGAACACTCCATCTATCTTCCGCAACTTTCCTCAAAAGAAGATGCTTATGCTTCCTTCGTTCTTCTGCACCACCCATGCATGCAAGTGCCTCGATTCGATCCCTTTTACTGCTTGCTTGCTCTCTCGGATTCAGACCCTCCTTGTTCATATCACGTATGCACATACGTTTGTTCCTACTACAAGCTCCGCATATGTCATCATCGGCACTTCTCTTGCACCCATAATTATAAGTTGTCATGCTCAAAAATGATTATAAGTTTTTCCGACTTTTCCTAGATACATTGTTTTTCTATGTACATAGATATAGATCATATCTACATATATAATAAAAGTTATGTATCTAAAAAAGAGAGACCGACTTACAATTTTGGATGCAGAAGAAGCTAAGGCGATGGCATGCCGTGAAGGGATTGCTATGACGGAAAGATGACCTGACTTCCCTATGGTGTAGACTGATTTTGCGGTGGTCGCCGACAAGCTGAAAAGCAGGGAGCAAGATCGTTCGTTGGTGTGGTCGATTCTGCAGGAGGCGCGACTTCATATGGTTGATCTTTGTAGCTTAGACGTGGTTAAGATTAGTAGGTGTCAAAATAATGTAGCTCATGAACTCGCTCATTTTGGGTCGGGTCGTAGTAAAATCTTTTTTTGGTTCTTTTCCTGATTTTGTCTTGTCGTTGATCTGTAATGATACGATTTGATCTTTAATAAAGTTTCTTTATTTGCAAAAAAAGAGAATATTGTGATTTTTATTGTGGATGTATGTTTGTTATTTTTCTACAAACTCGATCAAAGTTAAAAAGATATGACTTAGGACAACGATAAAACAATTTGCAATTTAAGAACGGATCGGAGGAAATGTGGATCTCATTGTACATGCCAAGATTATTTAGCGTAGAGAATATACTCCCAATCTTCAACTCCAGTGACTTTGTACACGCCGTAGGGTCTAGTGAGTTTGGTCTAGTGGGGTGCGCAAGTTAAAAGGCCCTAGCGTTCTATACATGTTGGAATGTTCAATGTGCATGTTGTACATCACAGATAAACACACTAGAATATGAAGCCTAACAACTTGCGATGATGGAGGAAATGCACATAACAAAGAATCATTTGATGATTGTATGACAGTGATGGATCTAATAGGACTTGCTACTTCTTTTTTGAAAGAATCGAGATATAGCCTACATGGTAGGGGTTTTGAATAGGTCATTCTAAAGAATATAGAACTTTCGGCGAATATCGTGATCAGAATTTCTGGTATTGGGTAACCTGAAATCACAAATTAACAAAGATTGCTCCTATTTAATCGATTCTATTTTTTCTGAGAATTATTGGACACGTAGTAGGTTAATTCCTCCCAAAACCTAAGAAAACACACACGCGCGCGCGCGCGCACACACACACACACAATAACAAGTAGATCATGGCCAATCGCCCAAAAGTACACTTGAACAACAAGAACACAAGGACAAGCAAAGGAGACACCTAATTCGTTTACCAAAGTTCGAGTTCACCTCAGTAAATCCTACATCTCTATTGAGGAGCTCCCAAGGGATCTAGGTCCCTTTTAGCCACTTTCTTAGCTTCACTATCTTGATCTCTTTACTTGGCCTTCACAAACATCCCGCTGCTCACCACAAGCATGAGAGCTTACTTGGAACTCCTTGCCATCTAAGAGGCTTTACCTCCAACTGTAACAAACACTTCACTGAATGCTTGAAAAAATTACCTATTGTTCAAGGATGGGATTGCTCTCTGTTAGTCACAACCCAACTCTCTATATCTCACAAGAATCAAATAGTCTTGTAAAGAGGGAGTGGGGAGAGCTCTAAATACATCTAGGAGAGTGTTCCTAGTGGCTGCAAAAGGCTCTAAGGAGAGAGGGGTGAGGGGATATAAATACCCAACCCCACAAAACTAGCCGTTTGAGCACTTTTATGCGTAGGATTAGAAATTTTGGTTATTAGGATTGGAGAACCTAGAAAGCTAGTAATGAAATCATAGAGTTTAACACGCAACAGGTATAAAATTTTTTGGTCAAGGTCTGGTTTCTACTCGGAAAAAAACTAAATCCAAACAGAAGCCCCTTGATCAGAAATTCATGGGAATTTTCGACCTTGAGCGAAATTCCGATCCGACCTAGAATTTTTAGCACAATAAGCTAAAACGGTCATAAGTTTTAATTCTGAATTCCGATTTCGATCATCTTGGACTCTACAAAAAACTTATTTACAGGGTTATCGTCTATCCCAACTAAAAACAAGCTATAAAACCATCATGTGTAGGTGTTGCGGCAAGTGTTTCTCTCGAGTTAGCACTTGGGTTTGGTTAACTAGTTTGAGCATCCAAACTTGTCAACACACTAAATGTTGCATCTTTTTTTATAATAATATGACACATCTATACTCAATAAAAAAGGATATGTATATGTTAACTATTTGAGTCTTCGATATGTTCATATGCTATTTCTCTTCATAGGGCAAGCCGACTATGTCGATCAGAACAAATAAAGCTATATTTAATAGAGCGGTCAGATAACTACTTTCATGAGAAGTTGCATAAATGGATGAAAAGAGCTATTTGAATAACTTATTCTGACCCAGCTTCTACTTTTTAGTACTAATGTGTTTGTGAGAAGAAACATGGCAAAAAAAGCTACAAATAAAAAAACATACCGTTTAGCTTCTAATAACTTCAGCTTATTTTGACTATAAACAATTTATAAGCGGTAACAAATAAGTATGCCCCCTCCGAGAGTTTGTATATTCTTGGGTAACTCGAGACTCAGGCGAACCCGTGAGAAGGCAATAAAATGTTTGCTTTTGTCAAAAAAAAGTATGCCCTAAGTTTCCAATTCCACATACATTTATAATACTTACCTTTCCACCCACGCTATACCTTTCATACCAGAAATTTAGTGGCATTTCAGTGACTGCCGAGCAGCGATAAATGTACACATTTTTTTTCAGGGGGAAAAAATAGCCCAAACGTTTATCTATGTCGCATGTATGTGACAGCAACATGTGTTGTACAAAGGGATTCGGCACATAGTATGCCTTTTCCAATTTCCACAGCATAATCTCTACTTTAGTAACCACTCGAGACCTCAACTCAGGCATCAGCGACTTTGGGGATGGAAAATAAGCAAGAAGCCTTTTCTAGTGAGATAGCAACAGAGGGAATAAATAAATTAAGAACAAAGAAGAACGTTTCTTCAAGCTCGGATTTTGACTAGCCACGCACACATTACCACTCAAAACAGTACGTACTCTCATAAGTCTCGATTAAGCTATTCCTAATCCCAGTAAATTGCTGCATCATGCATATTAAATGAGTGCTCCATAGCATATTTTTATAGGACACATGGAATATAGTTCAAAAGAAAGAAGAAATACAGATATACTGTCTTCGTATCCAAAAGTAAGAAGCCATATTCATATTTTGGGCCTACATACTCTCATGAACAAAAACAGAACAAATAATTGTCTTATTGGCCTAACAAACAGCAATGTGATACTCCACAAACCGGCCGTATTCTCTCCAATTCTATACATATAGGCTGTTTTAGAACTTCTACGTATCTTTATCCTCTTCCTTTCATTGGCCCTGCTTTATAGGTCATTTGGTGTACATCCTTATCCCCTTGCGCACAAATGTAAAACAAAATACTTTTGAAATAAGAGGGAGTAGGAATTGTTACTACACATCAGTATGTCCATTTGCAGGTTTGTGGACAACCACCTTGCATCTAACTAGAACTACATTAAGTTTGATTAAATTCATATTGAAAAGTATCCCTATTTGTGATATCAAATAAGTGTATTTTAAGTTATAAATATACATACTCATTTCTATAAACTTAATAATAGTATAAGATTGTTTGACTTAAGAAAAAATTAGACTGGCGTTAATTCTTTCTGGAGATTGAAGTAGTACTTGACAATGTAAGAGATAGCTAGAGTATATGAAACAGCGGCCTCAACAACACAACGGTGGGATATATTATACACATAAACAAAATGTAATTCTCGCTTCTACAATTATAAATTCCAAACGTAAATAAACATATATGATATCGAATAGACGAATAATAAGTAGCATTAGACTGATTATAAAGTAACATATCTAGAAATATAAATATTAATATTGTTTTTATAAATTTGATAAAGTTTAAAAATTTCTAACTCGCCTCAAACATAGAGTTGCTTTTTTCTAAGACAGAGGAAGTATAGAGAGGATAAAAGGTGCACACAAAGCATCTGTAAAGTTCCTGGAGGTTCTGAATGTCCGGGATTGCATTGCCGCTGGGATAGAGATTCCCTTGATCTCCAATCGCCAACACCATGTCCAAGTCCAATTGTCCATTGCATTTGCATGCATCTTTTTTTTGATCCTTCACCAGGCTCTATGGCCTTATAATATGAGACTCAGGCTCAGCCAAATCGCGAGCAGTCCAACGAGTTACAAAATCAGGGAGGGGATCAGTCCATAGACAAAACTGACCTGGGTCCCAACTCATACCCAAACTAGCAAGCTCATGCGCAGACGAGTTACATGACCTCGGAATCTTACAAACATTTATACAATTAAAACTATC